AAAAAAAAGAAAACTAAAAACCAAAAAGAGAGTAAAAAACATAAAACCAAAAGGAGAGTAAAAAAACGAACATACTGGATACTTTAGAAGTTCCCAAAACCAACTTGGAAGCTTCCCAGCCTATAAATAGGCAGCGCCTTCGGCCATGTTGGAGCCGCGTAGGTCGGCACATAGCGTCGTGTCAGGCACCCCCGACTCTTCCGCTATATACACTAGGTCTGGCCCACCTACCTCTCCTTTCCCATTTTTGGAAGGTTCTAGAATCTTCCCATGTGATTTTTTGTCTTTTTTATTTTGGCTTTTTATGTTTATTTTCATTTCTGTTCTTTCCTTTCGTTTATTTTTTGATTTCCGTTTTCCTTTTTTACTTCTTATTTCTAAATTGACGAATATGTTTTGAAATCGAGGAACATTTTACAAATTGGTAAACATTTCCAAAATTCGAATGTTTTATTTAAAATTATGAACTATTTTTGAATAACTAAACAATTTCAGAATTTGTGAACACTTTCTATTAATTTGGGAACATTTTTCAGTTTGTGGACATTCTTTGAATTGGCGAATATGTTTTGAATAAACGAACATATTTTTGTAATTTGCGAACATTATTTTGTATTTCGTGAAAATTTTGGAATCAACAAAAAATTCCGAAATTTGGGAACTCTTTGACGAAATATTTCTTTAGTTACAGGAACACGTTTTCAAAATTCTGGACATTATTGGAATCCCGGAATATTTGCCAAAATTTTGAAATGCGGGAACGTTTTTTTAAATTGATATTTTTTAAAACATTATGAACAGTTTGTGAAATCATATAACAGTTCTGAAATTCATGAAAATTTTAAAATATGGGAACAATTTTAAATTCATGAAATGCTTATTTTCAATTATCCCAATCATTTTCCAAAGTTAATAATTAAAAGGAACATAAAAAGAATTAAAAAAACAAAGGCACCAGGCGCCCGTACATGAGTTGGCCTAAATCATGTGCGGGATGAGGAATGGGGGTGCGTGTTTGTGCGGTGTCCCCCGTCCAGATCATTAAATAGGAAGACTCTTTGGCGCATGCCAACCAACTGGCGCTCACGCCAAGCATCTTACCGGTCCACCGAACAACGCTTGGTTAACCGGTTGGTCGTTGACTTCCGTGGAAAAAATCTGGAAGAAATCACACATTTAAGTAATTGAAAAAAATTAAAAACTCATGAATTAGATATTTTTTTGTGACCTTGGAAATGTTCTATATATTTTGCAAATTTGAAAAATGTTCATGGATTTAAATAGTTCATAAATGTGGGGAAAATACGCAAAATAAAAAATAATCACAAAAATGAAAAAACTCACAATTTTGAAAAGACTCGCATATTTGGAAAACGAATAATTTTTAAAAATATAAAATTTAAATTTCCACATTTGAAAAATAAAATTAAAAATGAAACTGAAAAACAGAAAAATAAAATAAAATGGAAAATAAAAAATAAATGAAAATCAGCAGAAAACCAAGCAAAAAAAAACAATTCAAAAACCCGAACCGGAAGCTTTTCCTAACTTCCCGAAACCGGAGTTAGCTATAACATTATGTTGGCCGGCCTATGACGTGAGCGTGTGGGCGCCGCTTGTGAATAACTTACGAACCTTGCCTAAAAAAAACTTACGAACCAATGCCTTGAGGGTCGAATAGGAAATGCCCTGAAGAGGGCTCACGCCTTTGGCTACTTAAAAGTTATGTCATCCACTCGCTTTTGTCCTTCCTCCTAGCCCGTCTACTATAGTATTAAGTTTACTTATTTTTTCACCAGGTTTCTTTGAAACGCGCAAAAATTGTTTGATGTATTGGCTTACCAAATAAAATTATTTTATTGGTTAAGTCAGTAAAACCGACTCAATTGGCAGCTAAAGTCCATTTTAATGCGTAATTATATATAGTAACAATAAATTGACATGTAAACCACAGTGATTACTTACAAAACATATGTGCACCTCTTGTAACACATGTGCAGCAATTTAGTTACAAAAGGAGCAGAGGACTCAAATATAGTCTAAAACAAAATCAGTGAAGCGTGGCTGCGCTCAAATGGTTAGTGAGTGTTGATGCTTGCCTGCCCGCTCGAGTTCGAATGCAGTGCTCGCATTATCGGATGTGTATGCACCAAACTTCTTTAAAACTTCCACGGGTCTGTCTAACTCCATGAGCTGTATTCTTTTTCTCTAAAAAGGGGAATCATAAAACAGCTCAATTGTAGGTGCACCTCAAAGAGAAAGCTCTCAAGTCTCACTATACCAGAACATATTTCGAGGATGGATACTAAGTGTGTGATAATCTACACTTTTTAAATTAAACATCCCAATCATGATCCTTTTGAACCATCATGTTTGTTATTACTACCTCCATCCAGATTTATTAGTCCTCCTTGCATTTGGGTCAAAGTTTGACCATAGATATAACCAACAAAATATATTTAAATGTAACAAAAATTATATCATTGAAAACTTGTTTCAATACGAATCTGCACATCTTTTTTAAAATTTCCACGGGTCTGGCTAACTCAATACGAATCACAAAATAGCTCAAATTTAGGTACACCTCAAAGAGAAAGCTCTCACTATACCAGAACATATTTCGAGGGTGGATACTGAGTATGTGGAGGCAGAGTCGTTGAGGCGACGGAATATTTGTTGATGAGATGATGTTGATGAGCGATATTGAGCGATAGAGCGAGTGATTTCAGTCAACTTTTGCTTATTTTAGGCATGTGTTGAGTTTCGATAGTGCAATCATGAAATTGGTCATGTTCTACAATAGTCGGTGGTGTCCTGTTCCTGCGATTAATGTGTAGATGTGTTATATCTCTGGTTCTTCTCCGGTTTTTCTGTAGTGATCTAGGCTCAAATTTCTTCTTAATTAATGGAACATGCAAAGCTTTTATCTCAAGTTCTAAGATGGAAAGAAAGAATGGTACCGTGTCATCTAGGCATACATAGCTGTATGTCTAGATGACTCCAGTTGTTTTGTCGGTGCGTCGACGAAAGGCATTGGATGTGCTGATTTTGTCTTCGTGTTTGTCAAAGCTTAGGGTCTCTTTGATTTGCGGGATTGATAAAGCACAAGAATAGGAAAAACATATGAATAGAGTGTCATGACATACCTATAAAAAAAGTGTCATAACACATCAAATGCTACATGATTATATGATTTATTTGATTGTGCATAAGATAAAATAAATGATTTTTTAAATGATGCTGGAGTGGATGAAAATTTTCCTATGATATGTAGTACAAATGAATTATATGAAAATTTCCTATGCAATGAGATTCTGCGAATCAAAGAAGCCATGTAGGGAAAAACTCATGGGGATTAGAATCCTTCAAAAATTTCTTTGAAATCATAGAGGGCCTTCATTTGCGAAGATGCTAAATAGAGAACGAGCTTCATGGAGCTCATTTAAAAAAAATCAAAATTCACGTTTTGAAGCTTCAAACAATTCTAAAAGAAATTACACACGTTCATTCAAATGCACCTACATGTCTGTAAAATTTGAAGATGCTATACATTATGATGAGAGCTACACTAACAAGACAAAATAGTGATTTTGAAAATGGTGAACAGTACACACACTAATCACTATTAAAAACCCATGAATTTGTCTGTTTTGTGTAGCTTTCATCATAATGTATTTCATCGTCATACTTTATGCACATGTCGAATACAACCATATGAGCGTGTGTAATTCTTTTAGAGTTTCTTGAAACTTCAAAATGTGATCATTTTCCTTTTTTTTTAAAGAGCTCCATGGAGCTCGTCCTCAAGAACGCCCTACTCCTCCATTTCATTCTAGGCAAGATCCAAGGATCTCAACCTGTATAATTTGACGATGATTGGTTGGAGGTAGGTAGCCTCGAACCTGGAAGGGGGCATCATGAACCACCTCTCCCACACATTCTTCTCGACCATCAACTTCCCCACTATGCCACTGCCTAATAAAGGCCTCCTTTGCAGTTTGCGCGCTGCAGGTAAACGCACGCGTACGTTTTACTTTTCCACCACGAATTTGGATGAAAATTGCAGCGCCGCACGTAGAATCCTGTCTACTAGAATTTTAGATAACTCGGAAATGGATATATCTGATGCCTGAAACCACTCATTGGGTGCCGGCATGTCCACGACGTACTGCATGCGCGGCGCGTGGCGTACAAGTCACGAATACGTGTCGCCGTCAGGCCGAGCTGGGCATATGCCGGTTACCGCGCCGAGCGTGCACAGCCATGCGGCGAGCAGCCAGTGCCGCGCCGGCCGGGACAAAGCCGCCGCGCCAAGTTGCCGCCGCCCGGTAGCTTGGGCGCGCCGCGCACGTCGTCGAGGCGCTCGTTTGACGTCCACGATGCGTTCGCGAGAGCGGGGAGACGTCGATGCTTCCCGCGCGCCTGTCGTCGTCGTCGACCCGCTGTGTCACGTGGGTCGTGCGCGCGACGTTCAACCGAGAGTATACGACCACATACATACATGTGTCTGTCACCTTCCATGCGTGGCACGCCACTTATATCGTGTTCACACGGACATTGCCATCTGCACGTACATACGATACCATACGTACCGCCAAGTGCCCGGCATCTTGCTACCCACATGAACTACCACCCCAAGCAGCTTATCAAAGCCAAGTACATTACATTTATATTTTGGATTTCTTCATGTGAGTGATGATCCTGATCCAGTACCATGGACAGAGACGGTGAGAGCGCGAAATTTATCTTACCGAAGTGGGCGCATAGCGCGCGTCGTCATCACAAGATATACTCGATCTCGAACGCCGGAGACCTGCCGTCTACGGCAGTACGGCACGGCCGCACGGCCGCTGTGTGGCCGAACCGCGCCAGCGCCACCCACCCGCCCCGCCACGGTGTCGACCAGCCATCAGCCCCCTATATATAAGTCCATGAGTAGATGCTTATGGTCATATACCGCCACCTAATTAACCAGCCCCTGATCCCAGAGAGACCAAGAGATGGCCTCCTTCTCCAAGCAGGCGGCACTCTTCTTGCTGGCAGCGCTGCTGCTGTGCCTCCTCTGCACCAGAGGGCAGGCAGCAAGGCCTACACCAGGATCCAGCCTCCAAAAATCACAGGTACGTGCAATAAGCAATCAATCTAACGTGTATATACTTCATAATGCAGACTGGCTCTGGCAATCGTACGTTCGTTAATTTTTTTGATCACTTTATCTGCAGGGTTCTGGCTCCGCCATCTCTCATGAGAAGATTGCCGCAGGAACCGGGATGGAAATGGAGCAGGAAGATCAGGAGGCGATGAGAGGATGCGAGGGAGGGGAAGGAGTGGAGGAGTGCCTGATGAGGAGGACCCTCGTCGCTCACACCGACTACATCTACACCCAGGGGAAGCACAACTAGACGGTGTGCTGAAAGCCTGAAACCCTGAAGCTGTTGGTGCTTACGAAGGACTCCGTGAACTGAAGGCCATATCTGGATGATCGCATGCTTAAGCAGGCCCTACTTAAGAAAGGCATTTTTCATGAGCTCGTCGGTCTGTTCTGCAGTCCCATGCATCGTCTGTGAATTACAGCTATAGTCGCCGCCTCCTTGTATTTTCCCTGTTTCCTTGTTTTCAGGTCATGTATCTGTTCTCGACTCGAAATTTTATCATCATGTATGTACTTATTGAATATATTATCTCTTTATCTATACACCGAATACTAATGTTATACACACCGAATACTAATGTTATACGTACTGTTCTTCGTGATTGATTAAAGCTATGGAGTTAAGACGACGATTGTTAGTTAGACAACCCGATGTCATATAAGATGCCTACACGGGAAGGAACTATCGAAGAAAATGCAGAGATGACCACACGCAGTCAGGATTAGACCACCGGCCTACCTGCTGGCTATTATAAGCATTGACTTTGCACTTGTCATAGTTCCTTTTGCTCCATCTATCTATTACTTCATCATTGTTTGTCGTACTCCTAGTGGCCAAATGAATGATAAAGTTTTCGTAGCAGTTGAATCTCGGCACTTTCTGGATGCCTTGTTGCCTTGTTGGTCAACTCTCTTATTAGCTGGTCGAGGAGCTGGTTCTGCTCAGAATGCTTTTATGCAGCCCGGGCGGTCGCCACTTAAATTTTTCTTAGAGAACATGCCTCAGTTCTTTATAACTGTAATTAACAACGTACCTTTGATCCACTTCCAATGCATCGATGCTAAGATGAGTAGTTAAGCACATTAAAAGTTAAGCAACTAATGCCCCCAATGCATATGTGCTTAACTTGTCGTAGCTAAGCATTCTTCATTTAATGATTTTGAAACTAAAGTTCTTCATGCAGTGATGGGCTTCTTTCATTTAAGTGTTTTGCTTAGGTTCACACATTTGGCACTGTTTCTTCCTGGGTAACCACACTCATCTCTCTTCTCTTAATTACCTTGCCATATCAGATTTTTCGCTTACATGGCAGCCTTAGTACCTGCACAAGATGGAGCATTGGGAGAGGTCTAAGTAAACTCATGTAAGTTGTTTGTACGGTTGTAACTCATAAATCCATGGCCCAATCCCCGCGTCGTCCTTGGGCGACATAGGAAATCCTAGCCGGCCACCGCAGCCAGTAGATGCGGCCATCCGTGTACGGCGGCAGCGGGACTGATTTCCTCACGCGGCTCCTCTTTCCCAAGATATTCTAGGCCTAAGCGGTGAAGCAAGCTCAAGGCAAGACATGCTAGGCAACAATCTAATTAACAAGTCAACACGCATACAAAGCAAGTTAAGGCATGGGAAAGAATAACCACAAGTGAGTCAAGGACACGGATTTTATCCGAAGTTCACACTCTTTTGGGAGTGTCGGAGCTAAATTCGATAGATCTTTAGGTAGGGGGTCATAAGTTAGATGTCTTGCAATGATGGTAACAAGGACACGGGATGTACCCAGGTTCAGGATCTCCGAGGAGATAAAGCCCTACATCATGCTTGTGCATTATTGCTTTGGCATGTGTACAAAGTATAGGTAAACTACCAAGAGATTGAGTATCATTTCTACGAGCCAGACCCCTTAGTTTAAATAAGATATAAGGGAGAGTACTATGTGTACAAGATCCTAGTCGGGTATGTACGGGGAGATAGATTCATCCATGAATCCAGCATCTTGTCGTGTATGGCAAGTCTTCTGGATCATCCTTATACACGTCATGGGCTATCGATGCAGCCCAGGACGGAACCGACAAGGGGCCTCAGCCCGGCCCACGAGGTCGGAAGTTGACGTGGTGACACGCCCCTTAGCCAGGACATGGTCAAGGAGTGCTAGTCTCCGTTGGAATAGTGTCGAAGCCAAAGCTCTGGAACAGCAGC